TCAACCTATCTGCAAAAGGGTGTAACAATTCAACTTCTTCCAAACCAGATCAAGAAAAAAGAGGGGTTCTCTATGTTTGCACCCACAGGACTCTTTTGGATCCAGTTTTCCTCAGCACATCTCTGTGCAAGCCTTTGACTGCAGTCACATACAGCCTGAGCAAAATGTCTGAGATCATAGCCCCAATTAAGACAGTGAGATTAACAAGAGACCGAAAACAAGACGGAGAAACCATGCAGAAGATGCTCAGTGAGGGAGATTTGGTGGTGTGCCCTGAAGGAACAACTTGCAGAGAGCCTTATTTGCTGAGGTTCAGCTCACTGTTTGCAGAATTGGCTGATGAGATTGTTCCTGTGGCCATCAACACAAATGTGACCATGTTTTATGGGACAACAGCTAGTGGCCTCAAATGCCTGGACCCAATTTTCTTCTTGATGAACCCTAGGCCTAGATATTATGTTGAGGTTCTTGGGAAGCTCCCAAAAGACCTAACTTGCGCAGGGGGTAAGTCCAGCAATGAAGTGGCAAACTATATACAGAGGAAGCTGGCTGATGCTTTGGGATTTGAGTGCACCACTCTCACAAGGAAGGACAAGTACTTGATGCTAGCTGGGAATGAAGGAATTGTTCAAGATAATAAGAGAAAGAAGCCTTAGTTTCCCATCTTTATTATGAGATTTCCATCTAAGTGATCTTTTTTTTTTCCTTCTTATTCTTAGAATTCATGGACTGATTATATTTATTCTTCTTTTGTTAAGGTGGCCAGGAAACCATATATATGGTAACTTTTTGTTAGATACCAGCAGTGAGATGCTTCAGTTATCACTATTTACCATTGGTATTGTCGAATGATTGCATATTCTTTTATCTCTTGTTCTGTTCTTACATGTGAATTTAATCAACATGTCTTCATGGTGACCAGAATATTATTTCCAAAATAGTATTTGTAGATGTGATATAAAGAGGGATTAAAAAAATTCATAAGCGGGGATTGAGTTTGAGACTTCTTTTTAACATTGAGAAAGAACATAGTATAAGAAAAATATCACATGAATAAGAGCTAGTTGGTTCGATTCGATCTTGTTTTACAGATCGAGGTACTTAATTATTCACTATTTTTTTTGCATAATGTATTGAGAAGTGTGAGCGTGATGATGTTTGTGAAATGTTCAGTGCTTTGCAAATAGCAATTAATGATATTATAAATGCAAAGTCATAAATCAGAGAAGGGGTCCTCAGAATAATAATCATTTCTCTTGGTGATGGAGATCAAAGAAAGCTAGATGGCACCAACTTTGGTCGACACAAGACAATAGGACACATATGATTAATTACAAGCTTCTCAAACGTTTCTTTGTCGTTTTTTTTGGTGGTCAATTACATTGATTTTCAATTTATATTTTCGTAGTTGACAAACAATTGAACAAAAGTTGTTGAGAGCTACTCTATCTGGTTAACCAAGACACAGAAAAAAAAGAAAAAAAACATAACATGGAATTTGGGTTGTTGGGTTTGGGCCAGCAACAAATGGTCCAAGTCTAGGCTGGGTTGAGCTTGAGAGTGTTGCCCTGCCATACATGCTTTCGATCGGAAACCAAAATAATTAATTATTGGGTGTGTATATAAATAGATAACTTAGAGCATCCACAATGAACTCCTTAAATCATCTATTTAGACAAATTTTAGGGAGAAATGGAAAAATATAACTTCAACCATGCTCCCTATCCACTTCTTAAAATAAGGAGATTTCTAGGAGCTCCTAAATTTGAGGAGAGAGAAAAAAATTCCTAGTGGCTACCTGTAATTTAATGCTGCTTTATTTTATGAGTATTTTAAACCTTTAATTAATGCTAACTATTATATATATATATATTTTATAAAGATGGACCAATTAAAAAAGAGTTATACCATTTATGACTCCTTAAACTAGAGAGTATGATTAGAGTTAAAAAAAATTTAGAGTGCACATAAAATAGTTTTTGTATGTTTTTAGCTAAATTTTAACTAAAAAATAGAGAGCATAATTGTAAATGCTCTTGGAGCATTTTCAACTGATATGTCAAATTATCATGTGGATATAAAATGACAAAAATTAAACTGAGTATCTAAAAATTGCTCAAACCATTAAAATTATCATTTAAAAAAAGAGTAATGCTACTTACCACATTTTTATCCCACATTTCTATACCACATGATGTGGCATATCCATATTATATGCCACATCAATTAAATCAATGAAGTGTATTTTAATTAAGGCAATTAGATAAACAAATACTTGAATAAATCATAAAATAAAAGAAAATATCAAATAATTTTAATTGATGTGGCTGTCCACCTCAGCTGCCACATAAGATGGTATAAAGATGTGGTATATAAATGTGGTAAGAGTAGCATTATTCTTAAAAAAATTATCATTTTCAAATTTTTAACTGTTAAAATTACTCAAATCAAGTTTCTACACGGATTTGAAGGATGGAAGAGATATGTCAAAAATAACATATCAAAAAGTTTGATGTCAAATATTATTTTAAAACTTTTTCAGTCATAAACCCCACTATCATTTTCTTTTAAAAATAATATAATATTTGGCATTTCGGGTGAAGTTAAATTTTTTCTTAATTTTCAAATTACCACGTAATCTATCAAATTCAAATTTAACATTTTATATTGAGTAATGCTACACTTACCACATTATTATCCCACATTTCTATATCACATGATGTGGCATATCCATATCATATGCAACATCAATTAAATGAATAAAGTCTATTTTAATAAATAAAATTAGAAAAACAAAAACTATTATTTACATGATATGGTATATACACATCAGCTGCCACATCATATGGTATAAAATTATGGTATAAAAAATATGGTAAGATTAGTATTATTCTTTTATATTTGACATCTCCATACTTTTAGCGAGCAATTCGGAGCTGAAAAAGAAACAGAAGAAGTATGCACTTGGGCCCACTGGCCCAACCATTATGGACAAGCAAGTGATTAGACAATGGAAGATGCAAAAAGTACATATCCATGTGATTCAATCCGCTTATTTTTTTGTTTATGACAAAAAAAATCAACTAATATTGTCCATGTACATTATGGAATATAAATCAACGATGTGACACCTCCACTATAATTATTGCACTAAATTTAAATCCACCAACTCTCAAGAGCTGTACCTACAAAAATTATAGGTTCCACACAAATTTTGCAATGGCATGCCTAATGCATCATCCACCATCCGATCATGCCACTTCTCTCTCATGGCTCCATTCAGCCGTTGGATGAACCCCTTGCTATGCCCCTCATAATAGTTCAACATTTGTGCCACCACTCGAGGGTCCTTATCCTTCCACCAAAATTTGTCACACCCCGGCAATTTGGTGCCCATGCCATAGCTTTTCGTCTCATCAAATAAGCCTTGCTCACCCACCATCCTTGTGTACTCCACCATGCCATCTATAAGCTCCGGTGGGGCATGGGCCTCACCGTCCCAAAGCCATACATGTGCCATGCCGCGTAGGATGGCAGTGACCAATGCGCGGTGGGCATTGGGCTGGTCGTCCATGATTGAAGGGCTTATGTCAAATACAAAATGGTCATTTTTTTTGTTGGGTGAGTGGTGAACGACGACCCCCGTGTTGTGGGAAGTCAAGTTCAGGCTGGAGAGCCTCAAAATGACATGGTTTATGTGCTTCTTGGGTTGTGCATGTGCTTCAGGGTAAAGAAGGCATTCGACGAAGTTGCTGGTGTCGAGGATAATGCGGGTGGCTTTGTCGTTGGAGACGTAGAAGAGGTGGAAGCGCCGGCCAGCAACAGAGTGTTTGATGTCGTTTATGATGGTTATGTCGAAGCCCTTGGATGCTTCACGGTCGGCATATAATGCGAGAAGTCCAATGAAGAAGACTGAGAGGAAACGAACGAGGATGTCGATAGTACCAGAATTGTGTGATGCATGATGAACACAATGGTTGTTTGTTGAAGGAGGGATTGTTGGTTTTCCATGGATGAGGGGTTGGAAGAGGGATGGTTGGTCGTCCATTGTAGAGTGAATATGAAATGATAGACAAAAGAAGAGTGAATATGAAATGATAGACAAAAGATGCGAAGGAAACAAGAATTATGAGATGAGGCAAAATGAGTGGTTAGTAGTACTATATGTTTAGGGTCCCCGATCCCATGCATGTGATCCATTCCTATCATAATTGAAAGAGGACATCCATGTGGAAAATGATTGGCCTTTCACAAATAATATTTATAAAGATATTTTTACAAGAGGAGGATAATACGTCTGAAATAATGAAGGTTGCACATTACAGTAGGGTTAGTCACAATTAGATATTAAATTCATCACCAATATATCATTCTCGTATTCAAAAACTTGACTAAGCGTACCCAACTCCGAACAAATTTTTTCCTTTTGTATTTGGTGGCATAGTACGAATGTAAATTTCTAAATTACTTGGACAATATTTGGCTTCTCTCACATGTAACGGCTTATTTTTTTAATATAAATAAATTATAATTTGACATGTATATAAACTTTTATTTCGTACTTTTAATAAGTCAATTTTACAAATGTATCAAACTGTAATTAACTAATTTCATTCCATGTTTTTTAAACTTCTTGTACGAAGTCATGGGCCCATAATTTGAAAGTGGAACCACAAATGGGACCTAGGTGAGGAAAATAATTTGAAGGTGGTGTAGGTGTAGCCCTTGTCTAAATGAGGGCTCAAACAACCAAGCCAGTAGCTGCTGTACCAATTAAATTTTCATTCCCATTAATTACAATAGTCCAACAGCTAATTGGCTTTAAATATATAAAAAATAAAAAAAATAAATAAAAGAACTTATAGATAGATCTACAAAAACGTGGTCGGCAGGATTCGAACCTGCGCGGGCAAAGCCCACATGATTTCTAGTCATGCCCGATAACCACTCCGGCACGACCACTTGATGTTTTACTTTCTCTCTTTCTTTACTTAAGAAAGGGTCACTGTCACTCTCATCAACAAAACCTCATTGACATATCAATTACAAAATTCATCTGAATTCAAAACTAAGGCGGCGTATCACAAAGACACTAGTATATATGTAATATACTTCATATAATCCTCTAAATTCTGACCAAAAAAGACAAAAAAAACTATCTTCTAAACACATTCACCAGTAGATTACATGGGGGAAGTGGACTTGAACCTACAAAAGTTTGTATAGGGAATTTATGTTGTGAACAAAATTAAACAGGCCATGATGAATATATTTCTAAGGCTATGTGAGCTTGCAGCTGCTGCAGATGCTGAGGTAGAAGGGCCAGAAGCACCAAAAACAGTTGAGCCACTTGTATTTGTTGTGTTCAAGACTGATGAACTTGTGCTGCAAAACCCAAAACCCAAAATGCATATATGCAGATATGAATCTCTTTCTCCCTAAATTTTTTTGGTAGGAAACACAAGAAAGCAGAGATGGATGAGAGAGTTACCTGGTAGATGGATATTGACATGTCCCAGTACCTGAAAAACAATGTTGCAAAATAAGAAAAAAAATGTTTGACATAAAATTTGAAGATTAAAAAAAGCAGAAGAAATGGTATGTTACTTGGGTCAGTGCTAGTGATCACAGCAGTTCCACCAAAATTGCAGCTATTTGGAACTGGGTTTTTCTGATAGTAGTTATTGAACGCGAAAGAAGCGTGATCCCGGACATTGTTTGGGTTGTAACAGCTTCTACCAGCCTGAATTTCTGAGCAATCAGTGCCCCCATAGCCACAAGCATAGTCCAAAGCAACTTGTAGTGCCATTTGGGATGCACTTTGGCTAGCAACACACCAACTTGAACCAGTGGATGATGGTGTTGTAGAAAATGGGGTCATCCTAGGGGTTGCACTGACTGGAGAGGTTGAATCTGGGTCTGAATTTGGGTTCACAATTGGTATTGATGAAGTGGGATTGGTGGGAGTTATTGTAGGAACAGTTGTTATTGGAGTTGTGATGTCCCTTTTGGTGGTAGAAATTGGAGTAGTTTTTGTGAATTGTAGCCTTCTCTTTTCATGGTCTTGTTCTTTCATATTCCCAACATTCTTTTCCTTTTTTGTCACCTTCAAACCTGTGCTAGAAATGAAAACCACAGTTAGCTTTATTTTTTCAACTTTGCACTTTTTGAACATGGAAACAAAATGGTGCCAAATCTGATTAGGGTAGTGGTTCCTTATTTCAAAAAATAACATCAACCCATATAAATGGTTTCAAACTTTCACGAACCAACACGTTATCACATTTCGCAATGGATTTTGCACATATGGACGACCGACCCTAGTATATTTGAATGATTGATTGGTAAGAGGGAAGCAACGTTTTCTTTTTGGACTTTAAAGTCAATAGTAACAACTGAAAAGTTCAGTGACTTTTGTCCAATATATGGTACCCAGATGGGGTCTTACCAAGTTGAAAAACTGCTAATTTCAAAATGTAATCATATAACTGCTTCAAAGAACTGGAACAATAAAGAAATACTAAGAAGAGGTTAGCTGACATCCTATTCCACAAAGGACCTATGTTCTTGGAAGAAATATAAGGAAATACTAAGAAGAGGGAAAAGCAAAATTGAACATGAAACATCATTGAAAATTTGAAAATGAAGAACAAGAAAAAAGGAAGAGAGAGAGAGAGAGAGAGAGAGAGAGGGCATCTTTAAGGAAACTATATCTAGAAGAATGGGAAAATGAAACTTTTTATCCACAAAATAAAATGTATACCTTAAAGAAAGAAAGAAAGATGAGATGTTTTGGATGAGCAACATTGTAAAGCAATAGATGTTTGGATGTAGATTATTAAGAATACAGAACAAGAACAGCATTTGAAATGACAAAATTCTGAGCAAGAAAATTACATATACATATTCCTCAGAATTTCATATCTCAATCCAAACTCAGACACCAACAGAAAAAGAAAAAGAAAAAAAAAAGGAGATTCTCAATGCACACATAGATTTTTAGTACGCCGAAAGCTAATGGGAAGAGAGAAAAGAATAAAAATATATATACTTGTCAAAGGCAGAAAGAAACAAAGAAAAAAGAAAAAGAAGCTAATGAGATTATTACCAAATACATTAACAAAAGAAGATGAGAGATCATGCTGATATAAAATTGAAAAGAAGCAACTCAAAGTTCAGAACAAGACAAAGCAAGTCACCTGAACAGAGGAAATGACCCAATAGGAGGAAGAAGAAGACTAGAATTAAAGGATAAATAAACCTTCCACCCTTCATCACCATCCTCTTTTTCTTCTCTTTGGTGTCTTCTGCTACTTCTCCTATTGTCTTTGGTGGCTTCTGCTTCTTCTTCTGTTTGATAACTTTTTCTTCTTCTCCTTCTCCTTCTCCAGTCTTGTTCTACCTTTTGTTTGGGTTGAAAGAAAGAGAAGCAAATATAACTTAAACTAGAGAAGCATCAATGATGCTGTTGAAAAGAAGTGGTCTTTGTACCCTTTGTCAATTGTCATGCACTTAAATATATATTACTTATAAGGTATAAGTACATCAGAGAGAGAGAGACAGAGAGACAGAGAGACAGAGAGAGACAGAGAGAGAGATGAGGTGTATAGTAGTGTGTAGGGAGGTGGAAGCAAGGGAGGGAGGGTTGGAAAAAGGAGGGAAAAGGTAGGGAAGAGAAGAAGGCTGAAGAAAAAGTTAAAGAGGGGGGAGAATTGTTTGGAATTTAGGTTGGGTCTGTGGGCTGGTAAGTGATGATTGTAATGATGGTGGTGATGTGTCCATTTTGCCTTTCTCTTTTTTTTTTTCTGCCTCCCCTTCTTTTTCTGTCTGATAAGATTTAATCTAGTGACCATTAACCAACCACACTCCATGGCAGGTGTCTAGTTGTAGAACAAGTCTTCTAAGCTAACATAACTTGTTTATGCTCTGAGTGGGACCTTGGATTCTTCCAAAATTTCAAAACATGGCATTCCATGATGCTAAATAATTAATCTGAGCCGAATAAATTCTGAAAGATTTGACTATCTAATGAAGTAAATTAGCATGAAAAATAAGTGAACCCTAATTTGGACTAAAAATAAACCCTAATTGGGCGGCCCAACTTACCTGGTTTGAAAGCTCTTAATGGTATGGCAGAGTCAAGTGTTCTTTTTCTCTGTTCTTTTTGGGTTGGGATGATATTTGGCCAGGCTTTGTTTGTGTTGTGTTGTCAAGTTTTTCACTTTAAGTTGCAGTCAGCTGGTAAATAATGATTCCACCATATATACATATGCGAAGAGCACAACCGTATATTATAGCGTACTATCCCCAACTTAGCAAAAGTGTGGCAACTTGTCCTAGACATACTATTTCCCCTTTTTAGCAAATAGCAATCAATGCTTGGTGAAAAATGGGCTTCAATTGAACTTGGAGATAGTTTTCCCATATGTAATGAGCATGATTTATTCGAAAGGTGAATCATGTCGGACTTTAATAAATAAATAAATAAATAAATAATCTACTATAATGTAATGAATTTCACAAGAATATTATTAGAACATACAATGGACAAACGATTTCTTTGACATGAAGGAGGCCGTAATATTAGATTAATCTAGGGTATATCCCGGGTTTGATTTGCTCATTTCCCAATATAAAAAATTATAATGACCTTTTGTGCGCTTCATCACATGGCTGACATAAATACTAAATTCGTATAAATGATCTTATAGTCTTTGATTGCCCGTGAAAATAGCCCAAAAATATATGTATTGTAGGTCTTTATGTGGGGCACCATATGTGGAACAATACCTTAAAGTGGACGGTCTAAAATCCTATCCTATGCCTGCACTTTTGACCAATTGGATTCGAAATATACTTATGTGTATAAATTATTAACCCTAAGTCTGCTTTATGCTTTGGTTCCAAATAAAGGCAGTTCCTGATTGTTACTCCCATAATCCCATTAGTATTCGGTGGGAATGTTTTTGATTAAGACTATGGAGTATAAAATAATTGGAGGCTTAGGATCTGCTCAGATATAATAAGTTTTTTCTTTGTAGCTAGCTATCATAAGCAGCATCTTTGTCGACAAACCTTGTATTTATGTACCTAAATCTTTTTGTTCCTAATACTCTACACAAAATGCTCTGTGGCTTTAGTCAGAGCATGTTTGTTTGGAAGGAAAATATGGGTTCCAAAAGCTTTGTTATCATAGTGCTTAGTCATGAAGGAACATTGTATGTTTGCTAGACTGAAAAAACAAAATAAAAAGCAACCATCACGGGTGAAAGATGGGTTTAGCATAGGAATAATGTTTTTTTTATAAAAAAAATACCAAATTTATTGACAATACCTCTCTCCTAAGAGTGTGATCCATTTAAATACAGAGTACTGTTGCTGGATTCCGACTCTCTTACATATTACATGGGTTTTACATTATTTCATGTTTTCATGAATCTCACGTCATGTGAGAGAGTTGAGATAAGAGTTAGTGTGTCTAGTATTATTATTTATCAATTGAGATTATTAAGGAATTCGAACATGGGATCTCTCTCAACATCGATAAACAAATGGGTCATTTTAAGTTCCACTTGTTAGAGATTTATACATATTCTAAGTAAGTATGGTAACTAGGGCTCGTCAATGGGCCGGGCCGGGCTAGCCCGGCCCAAATTTAACGGGCTTGGGCCGGGCCGGGCCGGACTTTAAAGAGGAGAGAGAAAATATCGGGCCGGGTCGGGCCGGGTTTTTTTAGAAAATTCAAAGCCCAAGCCCGACCCATAGGTCGGGCTTGAGAAAGCCCATTGGGCCGGGCTGGGCTAAGCCCAACGGGCCGGGCCGAAACGGGCCTACTTCATTCGAAAAAAATCATAAACTTAATCATAAGGGCATTTTAGTCTAAATTTGAGATTAAACTCACTTAATTCCAATATTTTCACATCAAACCAAATTCATAAAATACTCAATAAAGTCACACAACTTAATAAGATTTTCCACAAAAATAATAAAACAAAGTATTATTTTTGAGGTTATTACATAATTAGACCATAATACGTTTTAAGAAATAATTTAAAAAAATAATAAGTATCAAAAAGATATTTTTTTTAAAGGATGGTATAAATAAATATGTAAATGTTTGGTGATGTGTTCAAGAAAAACATGATTATATTTGGTGGTAGTAGTACGATTATGTTTCGTGATATGATTATGTTTAGTGATATGATATATTGTTCATCTTAT